GTATGGGAAGTGTGCTAAAAAATCAATAAAAATTTAAATACTAAAACGGGCAAGAGATGATGAATAGAAATAGAATAATATAAGATGTCTCCCATTAAAAATTAAAACAGAGGTAGAAACTAGACAGGGGGGAAATATTATTGTGCATATTTCTATATAAAACTTTAAAATTAAAAAATAGAAGTAAAGATCAGAAGTTGAAAGATGTTTGTGTTATGTATACCTAAACAATACTACTGTGGTTATTAGCATTGTGTATTAAAATATTGAATAATTTAAATGATGAAGGATTATATACAGGGTGGCGCAAATACCAACATGTCAACCATTTTAATTTTAATACTTAGAATAATGATTAGAATTATGTGTGTGTGATTAATGTAGCTAATGCTATCAATATTATCACTATCATTGTGTATCAAAACTAACCATACCCAGATTCCACACTGTTCATGTATTCAATAATTAGGTAAAGGTGAAGGTTCCCCTCGTACATATGTGCTAGTTGTTCCTGNAAAAAAAAGTGAAAATAAACTAGGCCAGTTTTCTTACTGGTAATAAATAACTGGCTGTCCAGGACTTCCCACTCAAACCTACATCCATGAAAAGCCCTGAGATGCTCTCACCCAAAAGGGAGTGGATCATAATCTAACTTAGTTTCTGGTGTTCTAGATGCTGAAACAAAAAAAAATGAGGCATAAATAACTTGCCTCTTCAACGACAACAATAAAAAAGCCCTCCATATGTTATCCAAACCATGGAAAAAACCATAAAGGCCTGATTTCTTGTAGGCCTCCCCATCAAAAAACACTACAAGTTTTATTTCTTCCCCAACAAAACATGCTGGATGAGCCTATTGACAGTCCTTTCCTTTCCATCTTTTGCAAACTATCCCCTTACCCGCCGTATCCTGTTCTAATTTGGCACCAAAAATTTTAATCAGAGAAAATATCTCCTGCTCTCAAAGGGCTGGATTTGCAAAAATTGGCAGCTTATACCTGAAACCAATACGAGTGGGGAGGGAGTGGAACATGTGCAAGTTTTTGTGTGTTTTGTTTTAAAGGAGATTTTGGTGCCTCTACGGCGGAGACAAACAGCCAAAGTAAAACTCCCCGTCAATCAACTCCTGGTTTCCAGCTATGGAGCAGTTATGAAAATAACTTTTTCCTCCCCAGAGATTAGTTTTTTTTGGAGGGGGGGGAGACATAGCAGTAGTTCTAAATACAGCCTTCTACTATGGAATGCAAGGAAGGGAGGGGGGAAAGCTTTAAGGAGAGGGCCACATTTGAGTGCCAAGGTATTATTTTACATTTGGACCCTGATGTCAGCTTATTCAGAAAACTTGGATAGTTTAGGAATGTTAACTTTTTAAAGATGCACAGACTTCATACCTAATGGGGAAAACGGAGAGGGCAAGATTGTAAAGATGACCTCTTCAACCACTTTTCCCAACTTGCTGGTTTAAAAAAAAGAATTGCGTGTAAAATTGAGGAATCAAAAATCCAGGTCAAGGAAATTAGCATAAGGGTTGTCCTGGGCTCGATCTTCAGCTCCTCATCCAAAGAAATATCTGACGCATACGGCCTGAAGCTTAACAGTTCAAAAACCAAGATCATGGTCGTTGGGGAACAATCCATTCATTTACCACCGATGAATTCGGAAGGAATACCGCTCGAAAAAGTGGAAAGGATCACGTCCCACGGTTCTAATTTGCATGGAAGCTGGGAAGTGACCCCTAAGTAAAGATAAGGATAGAGAAAGCTCAAACTGCATCCTTCAAAATGAAAAAGGTCTTCTGCAATCACGACCTAAGCCTGACTGAAAACCAGGCTTGTCAGATGTTACATCTACAGGATCTTTTCTATCCTATTCTACAGCAGTGGTGAAATTCATTTTTTATATTACCAGTTTATGTGGGCATGGCTTGGTAGGCATGGCAGGGGAAGGATACTGCAAAATCCCCATTCCCTCCCCACTCTAGGGGAAGAATACTGCAAGATCACCATTCCCTCCCCAATCTAGGGGAAGAATACTGCAAGATCACC